GGTTATTATTATTGAGTTAGTTTGGCAAGGTTAAGCAGAAACCACAATACAAACCTCTCAACTGTGAGAGGTTTTCATAGAAAATATCATGTGTTCAACACAAACCCTCTTCGTCCAGAGCTGTACAAGTGAGACTTTGTTCCATGAGACAAGCTGTCCTAACATCATAAATTTATAATAAACATCTGCTTATCCCTAAACAGTAAAAGAAGCTCTGCGATAAGTGTTTAATTTTTTTGTTGCATGAGAAACATGTAAACAATACAGAAATCTCATTGAAAATTTTAAAGCCCTTTCAAAAATATTTTGAAAAAACAAAGAACAAAGCAAACAAACAATAAAACCTCCTAGTCTCCAAGGTTTATGGATATCTAGAGATTGAAAAACTGACATTTGTAATGAGGACATGAAGATACCATGGAGCTGATGAGCTTCCACATTAAGACTCATGATCATTTGCAGTCTAGGACTGTACACATACATACTTCATTGTTATGCACCTCTTTGTATTTTCTTTATTCAGTGGACTGTATAAAAGGAATTTATATTCATAACTTTATTAAACGCCACCGTATTCTCTGCTATTATTGTGTATCGGGGGATGTCTGTGTGTGTGCATGTGTATACATGCACATGGAGTTTGGAGGACAACCTCAGGTCTTGTTCCTCAAGTGCTATCCACTTTTTTGTGTGTAACAGGGTCTCTCAAGGGTGCTGGGCTGACAGCCTGGGATTACAAGTCCACAACACCACCATGCCAGTTTGCTTACATGGGTTCTGTGGATGAAACTCGGGTCCTCATGATTGCATAGCAGGCCCTTTACTAATGGAGCCACCCCCACAGTCCATTTTCTGCTTGTTATTAATTCTTATAAATTTTCATTCTAAACATGCCAAAACCCTTGTATGCTTCAATCAGCCATTAAGCACGAACCTCTGTCATCTTATCTATGACTGGCTGGGGAGGAGGATGGGAAGAGGGTCTCTGTTCTCAACCTGAGCTGTGTGCTAGTCACAGAGTCTTAGCAAGGCTAGAATTAGTCATGCATGGGAGAGAGCATGCTTGAGGTCATAATGCTGTGGATCTTCCACACTAGCCAGCCAAGGTTCTGCTTTATTTTCACAGTCTCAACCACTGCCTTGGAGCTAGAGAGATGGCTCAGTGGTTAAAAGAACTTGCTGTTCTTGCAACACACACATGGTGGCTTACAACTAACTACCTGTAATGCCAGTTCTGGGAGTTTTAATGCCCTCTTCTTGCTTTCACAGGCACTGCATGCATGTGGAACTCATACATACATGCAGGCAAATTCTCATATACATAAAATAATTAAATCTTTTTTAAAAAAGAAATTTCCAGGTGCTAGAGAGATAGCTCAAGGGTTAAGAGCACTGACTGCTCTTGTAGAGGACCTGGGTTTGGGTCACAGCACCCAAATGGCGGTTAACAACTGTCCATAGTAACTCCAGGGGATCTGATGCCCCTTTCTGACATCTGAGGGCATTGCACAACATGGGTGCACTTACACACATGCAGGCAATACACTCATACATACAAAATAAAAATAATTAATAAAAAGTTTTTTTTAAAAGAAAGAAATTTACTACATTCTGGAAGAAGAAAGACAGAGCTTTCAGCAAAAATTCGCACCAACTTGTGTGACATGTTGATCACTCAAATCTACAGGAATCGGCGTGCACACTTACTTCCATTTCCAATTTTGGTCTCTTTGATACTGTTTCACAAAGTAAACCACCAGAGGAAGAAAAGCTAAATAACATACTCAAGGTTATATTACTTGCCTGGCCATTTTTGTAAGATCGTATTTAATTTTGGTTATGGTTGGGTAATTAGTAGTGTTTTATAATTTAAAAGGCTGGGCATAGTGGTACACGCCTTTAATCCTAGCACTCAGGAGGCAGAGGCAGGGGGATCTCTGTCAGTTCAAGGCCAGCCTGGTCTACATAGCAAGTTCCAGGACAGCTGGGGCTACAGGGAGACCCTGTCTCAAAAAGACCCCCCCCCCAAAAAAGGAACATAATAAAAGCCTTATGCAAAATTAGGACAGGTTGTAGAATGTACTTCCATACTTCCATCTCTTTCCTCTTTCTCGTCCATGATCTTATGGCCAGGTATAAGAAGATCTTTTGTGAAAATGCAGAAAATGGAAAAGAAAGAAATATGAAATTTTTAGGTCTGTGAGTTAAAACCTGCAGTGTGTCATTTTATATTTCTTTGAGGGATGAGCAGAAAGATCAATCTTGAGGGTCAATGTTTAGATTTTTCTACTGGTCACTGAGAGAGTGAAATTGGGAGATAACTTCTGGGCTTATACTAGTTCAGGCAAAGTTTTGAGGAATCTATTCTAAAGTGGAAAAAAACATGTTTCAGCCAGTTGTGATGACACATGTTTGTCCTAGCACTTGGGAGGTGGAGGCCAGAGGATCAGGAGTTCAAGGCCACCCTGAGGTACATAGCGAGTTTGAAGCTAGCCTGTACTACATAAGACCCTGTCTCAAACAAATTAATAAACAAATCCAATAAACAAAATCTATTTACCCTCTTCAAGCGTGATTTGACTTTTAGTGACCCACTACCACATTGGTAATAAAGGGATATCCATGCAACTATTCTTTTTAACAGGTTTCCTGGATGAACTGTCTTGTTCCAGTCAGCCTGACCTCCCAGGTACACTGCCGTGAGCTGTCCTGGAAAGAACTCTTTCAACCAGCAAGCCTGGCATTTGACACCCAGAAAAAACTTCTAGAGTTACACAGTCAGCCAGAGACAGAACATTGCTGTTTTGACTTGTTGCGTTTCCAGTCCTTCCTTGTTTATCATTCTTCAGGAAAGGAGATGTTGAAATCAGAATTTTCCCCCAAAGCAGGGGGACAAAAGCAGGTTAACCCACAGCACTTGTGCCCTAAGGAACGGAACCACAGCTGGTGGCTTACCTGGGACTCGTTGAAGCGGGCTCCAACTCCCAACCTCTGGGACCGTTGTCAGGTGCCCTGGGCGCCAATGCGACCCACTAAAATACTAGCAGACCCAGATCACTGGTGTGTTACCAGCCAGGTTACTGCCTCTGCCCTCCTCCGGCACAGGAGCCAGGACACACCCACTTGGGGAAGCAAAACAAATACTTTACCGCTACGCCTCACTCTCTCAGAATCAGTACAAGAGCTGGTAAGAGGAAGCAGCTCCAAGACTAAAGATTTAGTGCTTCTGCCACCAAAGATGAGTGTCCGAGATCACAAGATGGAAAGGCAACAGAAATACTCCAAAGGGCATGCGGAACAGGCCTCTACAAAGTACCACTCCCTGGGCCTCTCTTTCCTGGCTCTGGACAGCCTGGGTCATACCCCATAAAACTGAAGGAATGCAGCCCTTCCTGCGTAATTCCATTGACGGGAGGTAGATAAGCCCAGTGGGAGGGGTAAAAATGTGTTCTTTCCCAGTCTTTCCATTCAAGGCTGAAGAATCGCTTGCACCTTTCAGGGATGAAAGGACTTCCCAGTGGAACACCCTAGACTGGATACCAGCAAGATAGGTTGGTAGGACTATGCGGAAAGAGAATGTCTTCAGAGTGCCTTTGTCCTTACAAAAGCTGGAATGGTAGCCCTTAACTTGTTTATTAAAGACTGCTGTCCTGGAGCTAGAGAGATGGCTTAGGGGTTAAGTGCATTGACTGCTCTTGCAGAGGACCCAGGTTCGATTCCCAGCACCTACGTGGTAACTAACAACTATCTGTAATTCCAGTTCCAGGGAATCCACTCGCCTTCCTTTGGACCTCCTCTGGCCCTACTCTGACTTCTACAGGCATTATAGGACACGGGTGCCTATACAGGCAATACAGGCAATACATTCATACACATAAAATAATAAATAAAAATTTTTTAAAAAATTGATTTCCCATCTAAGCATTCATCTGATTTTATAACCATGACAAGCCAGTTTTCATTGTGTGTATATGAACACACTACCTCATTAATTGCTTTTTGGTCACAGTAAGTAGCAAACATGTCTAAGTTAACCACATAGCATTCTTCACAGGATGGTCTTCTCAAAAATGTCAGCAGAAAAAAAGAGAACTATGTCCCTGAATTCAGTTAACTTACTAATTTTATTTTGCTTCTTTTAAGTACACCACATTCTACAAATGTCTTGGGGTGGTTTTCAATACAAATGCCAAATAATACAATAGGAGATAAAAATAAAGTTCTAGATAAAGTATATAAGCTATAAAAAAGCAAAGTCTAGCCAGATGTGGTGGCTAATGCCTACAGTCTTAGCACATGAGAAGCCAAGACAAGATTACCAAGAATTCAAGGCCGGTCTGGACCATGTAATAAGTTCCAAGTCAGCCAGGTCTACAGAGTAAGAACCTATCTCAAAAAAGAAAAAGCCGAGGCCATAGCTCTGTCAGAGCCCCAGTACCACATAAACCAGGTATGGTGTCCACACCTGTAATACTAGCACTTGGGAAGAGAAAAGAGGAGGACCAGAATTTCAAGGTCATCCTTGCTATATGTGAGTGCCAGACCAGCCTGGGCTAGAGAGTGAGGTTCTGTTTTGTTTTATTTTTTAAGGGGGCGGGGGCATTGCTTAGAAGATGTGGTTGCCAGGGACTGGAGAGATGGCTCAGCAGTTAAGAGCACTGGCTGTTCTGGCAGAGGACCTGGGTTTGGTCCCCATCACCCATATGGCAGCTAACAACCATCCATAACTCCAGTTCCAGGGGACCTGACTTCCATGAGCATTGCATAACACTTTTCATACATGCAGGCAATACACTCATATACATAAAATAAAATAAAATAAATTAAAATATTTTTAAAGTCGTGGTATCAACAAAAATCATGCAAATAATAATCTATCAGACTTTTATTGTGTTTTTTGAATTTGAAATTCAACTCTAGGGACAGAGCTTCCTAGTGATCTGAGACAAAGGAAAGGTGTTCGGTTATACGTTCTCACTTTCAGAATAGAGGAGACATTCATCTCAAGAGGGAGAAAATGGTCTTTGGAGGAATGAATTCCAGCAGGATGTCTTTGTGGGTGGACAGCATTTTCAATAACACTGGAGTTTACAGAATTTCACGGTGAAGACTATGGGTGTTCAGCAGATCTGTTCTTAGGACTCCTGATGTCTATCTGTATCATAACCCTTGGGGATATGATGGAGATCTGACACAATGGAAAAGTGACACCAAATTTCTAGTCAATACAAAGCATTGAGAACTTCTAGAAATACATATCTTCCCACTCCACTAGTCCTATACCCAACATTCTAGGATTAGAGATGCTTTTTTTTTTTTGGCTATTGACTATATTAAAATGTGTGACCTGGGACCTGGAGTAATGACTCAGTGGTTTATAGCACTGGTTGCTCTTGCAGAGAACCTGGGTTTAGATCCATGGCAGCTCACAACCACCTGTAACTCCAGTTCCAGGGAATCCGATGCCCTGTTCTGACCTCTGAGGGCACACACACACGGTACACATTCATACATTCAGGGACACACATATATGAAATAAATAAATCTTTTTAAGGGTATGTTTTGTAGGAGCACATAAGCCACTGACATCTTCATGGGAAGGTGTTTATTAAATAGGATTAGCTGGGTATATGATGGCTCACACTGTAGACTCTGTACTCAGGAGGCTGAGGCAGGAGGATTGCATAAGTTTGAGGCAAGCTACACAGTGAGTTCCAAGTCAGCCAGAGCTATGTAGCAAGACCCTCAAAAACAAAACAAAATAAATATATACATATATGAAAATTATGGAGCTAATAATCTAATTATTAGGCAGGACAGGGGCTTTGAAGTTGGGTAGTATGTGGGGAGGGAGCAAGGGAGCAATGGAGGAGAAAATGGACCTGCCAGTTGGCATGGAGCTAGGTGTCATGGAGGCTGGAGACTGAGGTGGAAGCGCCCTAAGTCACTGTCACTTCAGTGACATCAGCACCTTCTTGGGGACAACATGTGGCTCTTGGCACCAAGGGAAGTTCTGCAAGTTCTTCTTAGACCAAAGACATTTTAGTGAATACTAGGAAGTGAGACAATCAGTGGACCTCAGTGGTATCATGAGGGCATTGGTTTGGAGAGAGGGAATCTGAAGCTGAACCAATACATGTAGTTCATGGTTTTTAAATTCCAAACTTAACGCAAGGAATTCATGGTGTGCCCAAGATCTAAGCCATTTCAAAAATAAGATACATTTTTGAAGCTGATGACTCACTAATCAGCTGCTTACCCCTCCCAATTTCCTCCTAAGTGTCTGTTAACAGAGGCAGTGTTGAATTCCTCAGTACTTCCTGGTTAGGTTGTGGGGCATAACCTACGTACCTGTAAAGAATCAAACAAAAGGAAGCATCTTGGGTTCAGTACTCTGATAGCCCTGGGTCTTGCCATTATGAGTCAGGGCTAACCTGTGAAGGCAGAGCTGGGAAAGTGTTGCCATCTAATTTGATAATAAAGCTTCATCGGCTATAAAATAACATGCCTGGCCTAAGCAGGAATTCGCTGTTCACTTGAGTTCACAAAGCAAGCCAAACAAACGTGTTTGCATCCATCGTTAATACTTGACATTTCTTTCTCTGGCAATCTCAGACTACGGAGCCTCGTACTTCACAAACACAGAGGAAGAGTCAGAGGAAGAGTCAAAGGAAAGACTTGGGGTAGGAAGAGCTTCAGGCCCCACTAACTTCATCTGCTTGTTTGTGCTGGTTTGTGTTGTCAAACTGATGGATTGGTCTCACAGCAGAAGAGCAGGCCTATGCAGGTGTGGCGACATGCCTCTGTAATCCCAGCACTTGAGAGGCAGAGACAAAAGGATCGCAAGTTCAAGGTCATCTTGTACTATGTCATGATTTGTCCACCTTCCCAGACTACGTGAGAGCCTGTCTCAAAAAGAAACAAATAAACAAGCAAACAAACAAATCTTTTTGCCTTGCTACATTTAGTTTTTCATGTGTGTCTTTTTCTTTTTAAGATTTATTTTTATTTTCTGCCTCTGAATGTTTTGTCAGCATACCTGGTACCAGTGAAGGGCAGAAGAAGGTGTCACATCCTCTGGAAAGGGAACTGCCCTCTTGGTGCTGGGACCTGAACCCAGATCTTCTGAAAATGCTCTAATCTCTGAGGCATCTCTGGAGCCCTTCTTCTTCAAAATTCATTTATTTATTTTCTTTGATCTATGGAGTTCTTTAACTTTGAAGTGCGTCCTTTGTGACGGCTCACAGCTACTTCTCACTCTTCTGATAGTGTTTACCTTTGAATTGAAGTAGTAACATAAAACATGACTGTTTCCCCCTTTTATGAAACTTCTAAAATAGTATGCACATTATTAGGTTTCATTATGCTTTTGTAATCAACTATGAATAACATTATCTTTGTAATAATGGTAAGATGCCAGTTATCTCACAATGCGCAGTGGAGTTTTCTACAAATCAAATGGTCTGTATTATCTCAGCAGGCTTATTGGACAAACAGACCTTCAAGGTTTTTGAAATGTTAAAAAAAAAGATTAAAATTAAAAAAACAATTTTAAACCCAATAGAAATGTAAGAATAAATAACAACAGACTTGAGTCCTAAACAAAATAGCAAACAAAACCATGTTACTGGAAATTATCTAAACATCATATAATGTCAATCTACTTTCCCTAAAGAAACTACGGGGCATGAGACAGTATCTAAACTGGACAGACCAGTTGGGAAATCAGGGAAAGACAGGAACCCTCCCACGAGGGAGGGTGGCCATCCTCTTAGAAGTACTAGACATTCCTTGAGCCTGGACTTTGGGAAGCTCTGCTTCAAGCACTGCAGGCACAAATGTCACATGGCACGGTGATGTGATTCAAGGGTGTGAACTGCTCCCAGTGGCTTTATTCAATTAATTTAATTTATTGAATTAAATTGTTATTTAATTATTTAATTAAATTATTGAATTTAACTATTTAATTTCAAAATAATGAAAAATACCTCAAAGAAAGAACATTAAACAACTCAAAGATGGT